GTCAAATGAAAATCTGAAGAACCCGAATGAAAAGACGGCTGAAGATCAGAATTCACAGGTGGAACTAGTGAATGGATTAGACGCAAAAGAATCAACAACTGGAGCAGTGCTTATAAACCGGGATGCTGTTTTGCTACCCCAGCCTCAAGAGCTAAATCATGATAAGCCCAATTCAATAAAAAAGGTAAATATATACAATGCTTTTCTATAATCGTACACATTCATTCAAGATAATGGCTTTTCGAGTAGAGAATGCTGTTTTTTTTTCAGATAAGATTGCTTTAAAAATAGATAGAATGACTTCAAACTTATAACAAATATTTACATTTTATTTTTAGGAGGAAATAAACTTCGATTTTGAAAATTGCTTAGATTACGTGAAAGCTGGCGTCGAAGCGATTATCGAAGATGATGTTACCTCAAGGTTTCAGGCTGAAGAGCTTAAGAACTGGAATATGCTGACGCGAACAAATCGACACTATGAATTTATATCATGGAAAATAACATTGATATGGGTGGTTGGATTTGCAGTGCGATATAGTATATTGATGCCACTGCGCGTATTCGTTTGCTTTGTCGGAGTAAGTATTCATTCGATGATAACATTCTTAATAACATAGATAGAATTAATTCAGCTAATACCTTATCTGTTGTCCATATTATAAAAAGATATTGTCATTTATACATATGACACTCTCTGAATTTGTTCGAGCACTCGGATTTGATATTTTAGGGGCTAAAAATAATAAATTGATTCCCACGCTCTTAATGATAATAAAGTCTGTATATTATCTGTAATTGTAATTATCTAAAGTGGGCGCGTATCAAATGATATTATATTTTCTATAGCCTTACAGCCGGAGCCAATATTATAGATTATTACAGCTGAAATACATAGAAAAAATTAGGCCGAACTATTCTTGTCCGAATATGAACTGAAGCATATAGGCTCGAGTTGAGATTTCCCTTGGAATGTCGCTCAAGCACACGGCCTCCTAAGGTAGTTTTAGCTGTTTATATTAATTTAACAGTTATACATATATTGGTTAGACTAAGCTGTTTGTTGTTTGATCTGTATTATATTATTTTTCGCATTTAATTTGTGAAATATTTTATCTTTTTTATTTATTTTTTTTTATTAAATATTTTAATTTAAAAATAGCACATTTTTATTTATATTAGAGTTTTTACATTTTTTCATCTAACGTTTTAATCAGAAATTGAATAAAACCTGTAAAAATTATTATCAATAAATGAGAGAAAGCTAAGGAACGGGCATGTCAAGCACTGTAGCGAATTTAGGAGAGCTCTCGCCCTGGTTGTCATGTTTATATTTATTTCTTTTATTATTAATATTTAACTTTGGTTCAACAGGTTGTATTTGCAGTTGTTTCAAATGCATTTGTGGCCCTAGTACCCTATCGATTTTTGCGGCGCCCCTTAGCGGATTTATGTTTTAAAATAACCTTCCGTCTCATATCAAGCTCTCTGTCAGCAGTTATAACATTTCACAATAAGCAATATAAGCCCAAATCTTGTGGGTTTTGCGTAGCCAATCATACCACGCCCTTTGACGTCGCAATGCTCTCTACAGATTGTACATTTTCCTTGGTGAGATAGAAGATTTTTTACCTTTCAACTGCATTTCAGTTTTATTTCAATGCACTTTTGTTTATTTCGTTCCTCATGGTTATGATTTGCTTTCATACTCGGGCTCCATTATATATAAAAATCATCCTGAGGTTAAAAACTTCGTACACCACATTTATAATGTAATGATTTTTGTTATTGAAAATAGCACCTCATTTATATTTTCATGATTTCATGATTGGAAATAGCTTTTGCCTATGTTAATGAGATCCATATATGGCTTGTAATATGTTTTATGTTTCGTTTTCCGTTTTTATCTATTTATATGTTTCTGCTTTTTGTTATTGTCCTTGCATTGTTCAGTTAAGTTCAAATATAAAATGGGCTTAGTTTAATTGCAAATAAATTGCAATTGGGTAAGTGAGCACAGATGAAAAGGTAAAGTACACGGTTGACAATTGGATCCGAGTTAATGTCATATACTTTTGCAGAAGTTACTAAAGTTAGAACTTAATTTGTTTAGGGGATTCTTTGCTATTTATCTTCTATTTGGCTTTGCAGTTCCTTAAGTTCAAAATCAATCATAAACAGAAATGATATGATACAGGGCCTATCCACTTATGTTTGGAAAATAAAAAATGGAGTTTCTAAAAAATATATTAATATAACAAGGAATATTATTTTCTAAGAAATATTTTAGCTATTACTAAAATTGAACAGCGAATGCCCAGGCCTTGAACGGCGATGTAAATATATCTGCTTAAACAATTAGACAATCAAGTGTAGTAGTTGTCTGAGCTTTACTTAATAACCTATTCCTAACGCTCTAATATAATATTTCATCAAATAAAATTTTTGTGTAGTGTGCATTTGTGATTTGTGCAATGATTACTAAAAAAGATAACTAAATATGTATTGTTTTGCATAATGCCGATACTAACGACCGTTTCCAGAATTAATCTTACTAATAAAGCATAATTATGACCATCTGTCGTTACGTCGAATCTGCCCGAGTATAATTTGTTGATCTAGTGAGACGTTCGATACATTTCTATGCGTCTATTTGATATGGAAGTTAGATTTATATTGTTGCTTAGGTTGAATCTAGTGAGATTTTTTCAATACTGAACTGATTTCGTTGGATAGTAAAGCTAACTATTGTAATATAATATCGTTTACAAACCGATACTCTCGCTATTTGAAGTATGTTATACATGCATACATACTTTGGTGATTAATTACAAAGAAAGTATGTTGTATAATGTAAAATATTTCGTAGGCATATATTAAAGTGATGCGATTTGCATTATTTTAATTGACAAACCATTTAAATTAAACTTAAAATAATAAGAACAATTTAATATAAGATCTAAATTACACACGCCTTTTGTTCTATGCAATCTCAGGTAGTGTGGTTAACAGCATGCACAGCAGCTGTGGGAAATCTTAAGGATGGCGAAAGAAAACGCGCTATTGTGAATAAGGTGCTGGGGCAGTGCTTTGGCCTCCTGTCCAGCGCCATTTCAGCAGTTATAACTTATCATAATGAGGATAATCGACCGTCATCGACAGGTATTTGTGTGGCAAATCATACAAGCCCCATAGACGTACTCGTACTGATGTGTGACACAACCTATTCTCTGGTAAGAAATCAAACGAAATTCGAGGAATTTGCACCCCAAATAATATTTGACCAAATAATATTTGAAACTTGACAGTATTTGTATGTATTATTTGGTTAGGACACTACGATTCATTTAGCACTTGGCAAAAAGTTGTACAAAATGATTCATAGTCTATTGTATTGTATATATTACAACATTAATTTGACAAATATTCAACATTTTATTTTTAGTTTCCATTTTTTAATTTTCCATGCGTTGATTGAAAATGTAAATACATTCAATTTTGCATAAATTATTGAACAGTGCGAGAGAAGGCATTTAGATTCGCGATGATGCTAGATGAATTCAGGTTTTATAATAAGCATGCGAATTATTTGTTTTGAGCTTTTATATACACAAGATACAACAAAAATGGCACATGTAGAGGTATCTCTTAGTCGGACCGTGCCGACTAATGCAATCTAGCTTGTTTACATGGTTTTCTTGTGATCTATGCGTTAAGAATGTGATTGCTTGGGATTCTCACTCGTTTACTTGGAGTAAATATTCTACAGTTACAAATTATTTACCAAGATTTTCGCATAGTTTCATAGTCTAGCAGAAAAATCAATATACAGTAGAAGCATCAGTTCTTGTTGCTATTATTATATTATTATTATTGTTTTACGGAAAGTAATTCCATTTTTCCAGATACCTTGACCCAAAATTCAGGTAATACCAATTCAAGTTTTATCGGAATACTATGTTATATCACGCCTTCTTGTTATGTAAAAAATGCATTTGTAATTCATTTCAATCAATCATCGTTTATATGAATCATCATTGAAATCCAACCCCTAGACGGAATTGGATAGTCATACAGTTAATACATACGCATACATTAAATTACTTAAATGTTTTATATGAAGACAACAAAAAACAAAAGAGAAAAGAATATTGTGAATAATTCTCATTTATAGATTGGCCAACGACATGGTGGATTCCTTGGCGTCTTGCAAAGAGCGCTGGCAAGAGCATCTCCTCACATTTGGTTTGAAAGAGGCGAAGCTAAGGATCGTCACTTGGTTGCTGAAAGACTAAAACAGCATGTGTCAGATCCTAGCAATCCGCCAATTCTGATATTCCCGGAAGGTACTTGCATCAACAATACGTCCGTTATGCAGTTTAAGAAGGGTAGTTTCGAAGTGGGCGGCGTTATATATCCCGTTGCCATAAAGTAAGCATTGTTTACACATTCTATCAGTCAAAATAATATTAACAAATTCGCCTTTACTTCAGATACGATCCCAGATTTGGCGATGCATTTTGGAACAGCTCCAAATACTCAATGATGCAATATCTTTACATGATGATGACGTCTTGGGCAATCGTGTGCGACGTTTGGTACTTGCCGCCCATGTATAGGCAGGAAGGCGAGTCGGCGATAGATTTTGCCAATCGTGTCAAAGGTGTTATAGCCAAACAAGGCGGTTTGGTTGATTTGGTATGGGATGGCCAGCTGAAACGGATGAAACCGAAGAAGGAATGGAGAGAAATACAACAAATTGAATTTGCAAATCGATTAAAATCGGATTGACGTTTCAGTTAAACACTTATTATGTTATTATTTGTAATTTACAATGGAGAAAATGTAAAAATAAATGACTTTTACCAAAACAAAAGTAAGAAGAAAATGAAAAGCAACAGAACAGAATACTTCCCCAATATCAAAGACTAGAGTAATAAGAATAATATATTTCAAAAGAAAATATCAATTAAATATGCCTGTAAATTGTGAACAGAAAACTCAATTATTCGTAATAATGGTTTTATTAATTTATCTCATGGTCTGTCAATGGTGTAGATCTATTTATAATCCTTGTAAATATTATTAAAAATATGTTAATATAGGTATTTGTACATATATATCAAGGCATATAAGGCATGATAGACATATAGCTAAGTGATTTATATAAGGGATTAAGTTAGTTGTTCCTCCGTTTGTAGAATTACAGCATTCTGTTGCAAAATTGACAATTTTCGGATACAAATTTTTCCAAAACTGTACGCGACGATTGTCCGAGAGATAACCAGTATTGAAACTTTCATCAACTATCAAGTATGAATATCTGGGCGGCTCCATAGCGCTCCATTTCACATATACATTGGCCTTTGTAGGATTCGATGCTTTCGCAAAATTCGCCCACAGTGTCATAACAATGTCTGCCATTTTCTTATCAGTGGGCTTCCACTCCACAACATTGCCCACATAGGGAATACCCCAAACGAATATCTGGTCGAAATACTTCGGCACTCCAATCCAATTCGGTAGATCAGAGCTTAGAGTTTTGGATCGAAACTTAAATATATAGCTATAAACAGTCTGATGCTTACTGACGATGTCTATAAACGTTTCCAATGGAGTTAAATATGCTTTTTCCGTATGAGAATTGATTATATTTGTATTAATTTTCATTTCTTCCTCGCTGTTTTCATCGGAATACATAAAATTAATAGCATCAGAAACGATGGGGAAGTTTGTACACCATTCGTTATTTCCGGTTACTTTATAGATATCATTTACTGCAATGTCGGAAAAGAAGCTTTTGATATCCTCCGTAGTTAGCTCAGTAGAAATATACTCATCTAAAAGTGTAAGAACTTCCTCCATATCCGTAATGCCAACAATCAGTGGCACTTTGTGATAAGTTCCACTCTTGAATAGATTTTCCGGCTGGTTTTCGATAAATGGATATGACGTATTACTTAGTCCATAATCGACAATGGGACCCCACTGAATAGACGGCAGATTCTCGGTTATTATTTTTGCATCGATTCTCTTTAAACATTGAATTAATAGCGACGTTGGTCTTCGAGCACATCCGAAAATATTTGATATCCTATCCAAATCATTGTTGAATTCATGTGGAAATCGAACAGGGACGAGGGGATTTCCAGACATTATAATTGCTTTATGAAAAGCGCCCTTCGACCACTCCCCCGACGTCATATGCAAAGCCGCACTAATTGCACCAGCATCGTGGCCCATTAATGTGATCCGATTCTCGTCACCACCGAAATAATTGATATTTTTCTTAACCCAATATAGTGCAGCCGACTGGTCCATCAATCCAAAATTTCCTTGAGCTTCGCCGTCATCCGTCGAAAAGAAGCCAAATATATTTAATCGATACGAAAATGTTACAACAATAACTTTCTGCTTAAAAACCAATTGAAATGGTTCAATGTCAATTGGGCTGCCCGTTGTAAAGTTCCCGGAATGAATCCAAACAATTACAGCATATCCATCGACTTCAGGTAGTCCTAAAAAATAAATGCGAAAACATTATAAATACATTAAGTGAAAGAGTGATATAGAAGATCTGTTATTGCATACCGATATCAACTCAGTTACAATTTAAAAAAATTAAAAAATTGGTCAATGAATGTTTAAAGATCTCTACCATCGGTAAATATATTTATCAAAATATCATAAAATATTCAATATTTTATTTTAAATAGTTCAAAGACTCACCGTCAGGTACATAAACATTCAAATGCAAACAGTTCTCATCGTATTTTTTTGCACCATTCTCATTAGGCATATCTCCCGAAAGAACATCCAATACTTTATCGAGCTGGGCATTTGTTGGGACGCGCGCTTTTTGCCAACAGCTGGGCGCGAAGGAGGTTGCATTGAAAACGCCTTTCCATGGCGGCAATTCAATGTCGGGCGGAGAGAATCTTGCAGCATGTGCATACCGAATGCCCAAGTATGCTTTAATATTTTGAGTTCGATACATTTTCAGATATGTCCCAGATATAATACCATTTCCGGGTATATGTATATAGGGTGCATCGATGCTATTTACACACGTGTAGAACAAATTATATGTGACGTAGAAATAAACACAAATTAACAAATTCTTCGACCACATCGTGACTTGTAGTATTTTTGCACATGCTTAGAGGGTTTAAGGTACAATACTCAGGAGTTTCTAAGATTCTTTTTTTTGGTCAATAAAATTGTCAAGGAACGAAAAACAAGCTAATAAACCCTGTTGCTAAGCCTTCGTATCCATGACAACAATCAGTTTTTTTTTTTAATTCTTATGGATGAATAAAATCATTGCTAAGCCTTCGTTGCCATGGCAGCAATCAGGGCTTTAATATCCCAAATTACAACGCTTTCGTTGCTAGGTCATAAATTGAGCTAATTCTATACCCTATCGTAAAGTGAAAGTTCTGAATAGCTTGACTCTTCTAGTAGGTTATTAGAGCATTCGCTTACATACTAATGGATATTTTAGTTATTCAACAGTTTGTTTACAATGCAAATTGCTACATTTTTAAATGAATGGGTTAATCATTGCTATAAATAAAATGATATAATTATTAGTAATATATCTCTCCTTTTTTATACATTTTAATATTTTTTTTGTATAATATTTTATTTACAATTATTATTTTACAGTTAGTTAAAGTTGCAGATTTGACGCTTTTTAGGTTCGTATATAAATTCCAACAATTTTTATATTTTAAATTTAAAATCCTAATAAAATTGATTAAAAATTTAAATTATATATATTTTACGTTAGAAGTGGATATCTATATATTAAAATATTAATAATAATAATAGTTATATATTTAATATGTGAATATTTCATTTACAGCCAAGGATGCCAAGCAGGATCCATGCGACATAAGTTGTCCGTATTCGTGGCGGATTGTATGAGTGCCGAAATTTTCTTCTTTTCAATATTGTCGAAATAGGATATCTTATTCAATCGCAATAAAATAACATCCACAGCTGAATTAACAACCCGAATAGTGTGCTCCATTGTATTATTATCAACCGAAGGCTCCTGCGATGCATCTAATAATTTACTCTGCCTAAATCCTTTCTTCTGCAAAGTGATTATCTCATCTCTGAGTATAGTTTGTAGAATGGAACTCAGTTTGTAGTTCGGCTGAATAAAGCAACGAGCTGTGGCTACAATTGCCGCGGACAATAGTCCAGAAATGCCAATACTTGTTATGAACTCGCCAATGTTTGGTGTCAGTCTGAATGGCACTGGTCGATGCTGATTAAACTGCTCCTTATCATCATTGATATCGAACTTAAAGTATGATATATTCATAAGTCCAGAGTCCTGATGAAGGTACATCATATCTGGATTGAGACGTGTCAAGTTTAGAGCGTGCTCACACAGATATGATAGCGCCAACTGAAGTGTTAACTGAAAATACATTAATAATTTAAATTAATCAAGTTTTTTACGATTTTCCTTATTACATATTTGGGTCTTAATTCTACGACGAAGCAACTTACCATTTTTCTAAACTGCCAATAATCCGTGGCTGCAGCAAAGGTATTTAATGCCCATTGCCTTAGCAGAGTCTTTGGTACCATGGTGCACTGAACTTCGGTGAAAATTTCTCTTAAAATTGTATGCGAAATGGGTGTTCCTTGGGCTTGCACTTCAGAGAGGCGCTCGTAATACCTAACTATTGGCATGTCGTAGTCAATTTTTGCGTTATTACAACACTTCTTAAATATCTTGAGCAGTGAGACACTATTTGGATTATCTTCAGCAAGTCGCATTTGTGGTGAAATTGGCACAACTCGCGGCACAGTTATATTTAAGAATCGTCGACTGGTCTCCTTTTGCTTTTCCAAATAATAATTTAGCATTCGCTTCAGCTGCAATACGCGTTCCTCACGGCGAGCATCGCCTAGTCCAGAGTCGAGTACTACGAGGTACGGATATATTTTACCATTCGTACCTCTTATATATAACCTGCGAGCTGCAGTGTTATTTTTCTGCACTATTTCCACGCGTGGCATGAACCGAGCAATGCGCACGTAATAATGTGACGATGACGGAATTAACAGCTCTCCGGGCAGCTCTACTTCGGCCGTTTTCTGACTGAAGTTCGATAAGAATCGGCATTTGTCCTCTATTAAAAAGGATGTCGGTAGCTTTTTCACTTTTGTTTCTAATACTTTTATCCATGTTTTCAGTTTGGATATCAAATTATGTAACTTCATTGCTCCGGGCTTCGAAAAGTCGAAATCGTTTGTAAATTGTTCTTTCATTTTTTGGAAGACAGGATCTTGAAACGTTACTTGTGCCCGTCGTGCCAACGACTCCGATGCAGCCGAGTGCGATATGGAGGAGGCGACAGATCCTGGAACATTTTCTATTCCAATACCGAACGTTGATCCAAGCTTTTTGACAAAGTGTAGCGTGTGCGGGGTTATGGTAGCATTCACCACTGTGCTGCGATTCTCAAATGCTATGGCATAACATTTAATTAAGCCCTGCCGCAACTGACGCAAAACTTCCTCTGTCCAGCTCTCTCTAAACCAAACCATTTGATCGACAATTCCTTCCAGTGAACTCAAAATTGTGGGATGAACTTCCCGCTGCAGTTGCATTACTTTTGAACATCTCCACATAGGTGGTGTAGCCTTGATAGGATTAACTGATGGAACTCCCGTTTGATTTCTTCCGCCAACTGATCCCATATTCTCCATAGTCTATGGAAATTAATTTAAATATGTTTATAGTCCATTTGATAAACCCAAACTCGAGTACTTACTGAAGATGTTAATTTGCCGGCGAACACCGCCTGTTCAGCTGATTTATGCTTTTCCCTCTGCTCAATCTTTAGGGTAAGGTACAGTGTTCGAATCGGAAAATAGACTGCCTGAGGATATAGTCTTCCAATCTATAAACAAAGTCTGTTAAACACAATCCTTTTCATTATATTGTAGCTTAACTTACCTGGCTTAAAAGATTCAATATTACATCGCCCTCGAATTGCTCCAAACAGCATAGCAGTTGAGGTATCCACGGTAGCCAATACGATGGCGGAATTCCAGACACGTATTTCTCAAAGGTGCTTATTAGAGTGTCGCTCGAGCTATCGTATGACAAGAACCATAAGACCTTTGCAATATACTTTCTGGTTTTGCTTTCATTCTGATTGCGACAAGCGTGCAGAAAACAGATTAACGCGTTAACACCATGGGAGATTTGTTTATCCTTCAGGTAAATCTGCTCCATATAGTCGCCCCACATAGCCCACGCCTTAGTTAGACCATCGTGAAGCTGAACTGCTGCACTAAACGCTTTGCCAGCTTCCTCAGTGCGTCCAATTTGCGTTAAGAGCAAGCCTTTCAGTGCATAGAATTCTGCATTCATCTCGCCCGTGAAATACTTTAGATTTGTTAATTCAATCACTTCAAGCGCTTCATTTATTTCATTGCGTCCTGATGTTGAGGGCATTTGCAAATAACATTTTACTTGCTGGCGTATTTTCTGCAAGAATATATGAAAATATTATATTAATTGCTTTTGTATTCGTTTAAATTGTATTCTATTACCTGGAAGCAATCCACTATTGGCACGGCGGGTATAGTGTATATTCTAGATAATGTCTCCTGGCACACTCCAGTCAGATTATGTTTCCTCGCTATTTTGCCGAAGGAAATAATAGCTTGTGCTGAGGCATGCACTCCCAGCATTGTGCTGCCTTGATCCGACTGTTGCTCCAGGTGCTGCGTTATTATTTGATAGTGATGTTGTCTCCACGTGAAAATGTCGCTCCAATGTGATAGATCATCCGATATAATGGGTAACCTATTGCGCCATGTTTTCACAATGGCTTTCATATCGTGCAGCGAGGAATTTCTGGACTGCGTTAAGCCCTGATGGATTTGACTTGCTTCGTGCAATTCCATAATTTGCTGTGAGGCCTGCAGATATGGCAGATGAATGTGAGATACGATTTTCGGCAAGCGCCGCCATTCTCTGATACACAAGCTCGAGGCAATCTCTACATAGCGCTCAACACTAGCCGCCTGCCTATCCTCTTGATACAGGATTGACAAATATCCTTTGTACAAGTTCAATTTAAATCCATATTGCTTGGAATAACACTGCTCCGTTTTGGACAGTGCATTCTTCATTAGATTCCAGTCGGGTACGCGCCAGGAGCTTTCCAGAATCAGGAACATATTCTTCTCTCTATTCGTCTGAGCATAGTCCAATAAAATGTCCCACTGATTTAGTTCCTTCGCACAGCGCATCCAATGTTCCTCCCATAGCAATAATTCGCTGTTAACATCAATGTTTATCTGGCCACTGTTCAAGTCCTGTTTAAACTTTGTCATGGCTAGGTCGTAGGCACCCTGGGCTTCTTCAAAGAAGCCCATTTGCTCATATGATATGGCAATATTTGTTTCGGGATAATGCCCGTACTTCAGCCAAAGGCCAGCCCAAAGATCTTCCTCGTGCATCGCGGAGTACATTTTGGAAAGAGAATCGTAGATGTTATTCAAATTTTGTATATCCGATTCTGGCTGAGTTACGTCCGGATTGCTCAAATCATTGCGCGTGGAGTATTCCATGGCCAAATCTTCTAGCACTAAGATGGCTCTGTGCCATAGATTATGCGATTTACCCAAATATGTTAAGAGATTTGGAGGAATATAAATCGAGGGTGTGCAATGAGTGAGGCTCTCCACAAACGTATTCAGCGTGCTGGGACTGCAATCCTTCTGATTTACATTCGTGCCAGATGACAGGAACGGTATTAATTCCTTCGATATATTAATTCTCTGGTCATCAGTGAATATACCCCAAATGCTAGGGAAAATTGAGAGCCACACGCTCTCGGCTAGCTGTGTGTCCATGTGACACAATTGTGATGTTGCTACAAGCATTTGCTCTGTGCGTATATTTCGATTCGCCTCTAGGAACTCCGCTTGCTTGTAGATCAACTCAACCAACGTGTCTCTGCGCGTGGAAAGTATTTGCTGACAGTCTTCTTTGCGAACTGACGTGAATTCAAGTTTTAGATCAATATCGAAAACGTCGTCTTTGTCATTAACACTTTGAACATTCTCAAATGATTCTGGTTGTGAGGACAGAAACGAAACAAATGTATGCTCTTGAGAATCGTTAGAGTTTGTTGGAATCACAGAAGATATACATGGGATTTTAAAGGCCTCATTCGAGCACTGGATCTGTGTCATGGTATTAGCTGTCAAAATAAGCAGTTCGATGCATTGCTTTATCCAATAATGTGATCCGATAGTGTCCCATGCCTGTGAGCAGATTATATACAAGAGCCTGTCGTGAAGTCTGCGGCGCATTGACGAATCAAGAATTTCGAAAAACTTCGCCCGCACATGAGGATTCTGAAACCGTAGACCATTCAGAAAGGCGCCCTCCAATTTGCTTGTTAGTTCCGTTTGTTTCAGTACTTCGTCACGGTATATGTAATTGATGATTTCCAAAAACTGAACATTCAGCTCAACCTCATCGGCAAATTTCTTTTCGACGTATTGCATTAGTTTTACTAGCAGTGCCGACTTCTCTCGTATGGATGGAACGTGAGCTGAGATATTTGTTTCTTTACACTTCACCCAATCGTCGAGCATTTTGATGATGCATTTTACAATCTTAACTTCCGAGCTTTTTTCGATTAGACTCACTAAAATAGTGCCTATAAATAGTTTTCGTATTTCCACGCTCATTATAACAACTCTGTTCTTAATCAATTCCAAAGATAAGACCAACAGCTCGAGAGCCAGCGAATTGGAATCAGTCGGTTGGGTGCTGGTCGTATTCGTTGTATTAATATTAATGTGATCCTTTGTAAGACGATTTAAAACTCGAATGAACTGAACTAATATCCGGTCAATATAACTTGGATTGTTGGTGGTGCAAGCCTTTAAAATCATCAGGGTTCCGAATAAAGATGAGGCATTCGGCTGAGGAGTCTTCTCATAGAACGTTAGGTTGTCTGTTATCATTTTGCTAATGGCACTGTACAATACATCAAAATCGTTATGCTTGTGCTGTGCATCCGGCGGAAATGTTGCCATCAGTCGTGTTAAAAATATGTGCATTAAGCGCACAATTCTTGTATTCTGGTGTATAATACACAATGAAAGACCACGTTGAACCGGTCGTATTATTGTCACCAATTGGTCCGAGCTTAATATTGTAGTTAGGAACGTTAGGAAGTCAATTGCAGTGCATATATTATTCAAGTTGTGATGAGGCGTCTCAATTGTGGCCAGAACTTTATCTAGCCAATTGATTTTAATGTCGAATGGCTGAGGCCAGATTTCGGGACGCATGGCCAATTTTAAAAGCATGATGCACCTGTAAAGGAAATACGTTTTTATTATCAAGCTATAAAATGTTATTAATCTAACTTACCTTCTTGACAAGTTATCCCCCGAGGAAATAATTCCGGGCTGTACATCATTGACTTGACATGCTAAACGAATAAGGAAATTAAGAACTGTATCGCAGAACGATTTATCAATCGATCGAAGAACGTCTTCAGACTTTGTATGAGTGCCCACGCCTATAATAAATTAATTATGTTAATTAAACATTCAATGGTCAGTTGCCGTCAAAATACTTTCCTTGTTGCACAGCCTGTCCCGAAGACTCAGTGATTTTTTTCCTATTTTCAGTTGGTTCACTTCCCACTCGCTTGCTGTGGTGGCTGTCTCTTAAATCCTCTTCAGATTCTTCAGCTTTTACATCTCTTTCATCTTGTTTGATGCGATGCAGCTCCCATTTTATGATAACTTCTGCCAAGTCCACAGCCAATTTCTTATGCTCAATAGAAGCGTTTGGCGGAAATCCTAAGCGCTGCATATAATTTATGAGATGCTGCACCAATTGATGTCTTACGGGGAAGTAAACCTAGAATTAAAGTTAATATTTAATCAATTTACGCAATTATATTAAACTCTGTGAGTGAATACTTTGTAGTGACGAATAATTAGCTGCAGGATGTGGAAGAGCTGTTGTATTGCGTGGCCTTCCTCGACAATAATCTTTTTAGTCCAGTGAGTCAACATCGTGTTTCCGTCTTCCATGCGCAGCGGCATTGCTGGAGTTAGCACGTCCAGAGCCTGCTTCACAATGGGTCTGGCTTCTAGCGCGTGTCCCTTTAGCAACGAGTGGAAAACTTGCAGTACGATTTTCTTATGAATGGCAAGTCTTGCAATAATATGGGCAAGCAGCAAGTGACCATGATAACGTGCCGTAGGATCCACACAATTCTTGCTGAGTAGGCACGGCCAGGCAAAGGTCATTAGGCGTCTAAGCTTATTGCCTTGTCTCTTATTGTTAGCATCGCCGTCGTGTATGTGCTGCGAGGCGCGTTCGACGAGCAGGCACGCGAGTTGCAATAGGGCAATTCTTACTGCATCGTCATACTGCTTGTCGGGGTCAAATACTTTATTGATAAACACTGAAACAATATTTTTCTCATCCTCTTGATACGGCGTGGGCGGAGCTCCAATTAACTTATTTCCTTCACCTTTGTCAAAACTCACGGTGAAGCAAGGTATTAAAATTGCTGTAATTATTTTTGCTTTTAGAACTTCTGTGAAGGTATTGTTATTGAAGTTTTCAACGAAATGAAAGAATGCATTTCTTTTCCAGTTGACAGTAAAGCTTTGTGCGACTGTGTTTTGCAAAAAGTCTCGCAGAAAATAGACATCCGGTATGAAGTGTAAGCATAAAGCACGCAAAAGTTGAAACAGCAAATCGATATCATTTGTGTTATTCGAGAAATATAGCAAGAGTATTTTTCCAACCAAATGCCACAAATCGCAAGCGACATTTTCCAAACATGTCGAGTACAAATGATTTCGCCACATGTTCTTCAGAGCGTCAACAATATCGGGTCTTGTTGGAATCCATTGATCATCCTGTTCCATTAGAGTAAATATGATAAGCACAGCCTGATGTTGCACATTATATTTCTGGGTATTATTCATAGCCGTATTCCAACTTAAATAATCCAAAAGGACAACATATTTCGAGTTCTTAATGATTGTTCGAAATGCTTGGCCATTTTTATGTTTTAATAAGAATATAAAGAACCGATTCCACTGCGGGTCTTTCATAATCGAATCCATCATGAAAAGATCAACAGTTTCAGATGGAAAACGTTGTAAAAACATGATCAGAGCTTCGCGATATGGACTTGATGCCTCGATCATCAGATTCTTTTCAGTTTGTAAAACCAATTGGCATAACTTTTCGATATACTTCGATGATGCAGTAATGTGGTAAAACATTTCAATGAGTGTCACAATTTTCTGTTCGTATTCTCCGCCTTTCGATGTTGCAAAGAAGTTCACTGATTCGTTTGTGCACTTATATTGGCCCACAAATATTTCAATAATCTTTGCACAATGCTGCAATATTTGCTCACTAAGTTTCTCATTAAACATTTGCGGAAAGAGTTGGGTAAAATATGATAATCGTTTTATGGCTGGAATAGACAAGTTCCTGTGGTCGCCAAGTTTTAATAGCAGAGGTCGCATTGCAGCTTGTACCTATAAATTGAAACAAAAATATATACAAACATATTAGTATTTTCCTACTTTACATTATATTACATTACTTACTTTCTCTCTGTCGAGTGTAGTACCAGATATAAATGTTTTCATGCAATTATAGGCGGTTTCTTGCAGCTCGGGCTTATCATTTTCCATTACTTTAAATATGATGTTTATTATTTTTTCCTTACAGCCAATATCATTAATATAATGACAAGCTGCTAAAGCTCGCAACGCGCTTATTCGTAATGGTATGAGGTTTGTGACATTTTTATAGCAATCCAATTTCGCTAAAGTCGCATCCTCCGCTTCACTTAGTGTGAGTAATTCGTGGAAGAATAGTTTATGGTAAGTGTTTGTCAAATCTAAAAAAAAAGAGATGCATATACTTAGTAATACGAAAATGCTTTTATATAAGATGCCACCTACCGATGGTGAAGAGGCGTGGCTCCAAAGTGGTACAGAACGTGTTACCATCCATCAATCCGATTTGTGCATTGGCAGGTTGATGCCTCAAGAAGTGTTTTTTTGGTGGTATTATATCAGCTAGGACTTCCTTGTGCGGGTCCATGACCTCGGAGACAGTCTTTTTCTGTATTGCACCGATGTGCTTTAATAGCAGCATGGATTCCTCTCTAACAATGGAGTTGGGGCTTGTTATGTGACGCACAAGCTCATGGATCACGTCGTATGTGGCTTTCGCTTGCAAATCCTCCAGTTCGTCATTTCGTGAATTTATACTTATGGGTGACAAGCATATCTCCAACATTGTTTTCATATAGTTTTTAGTTATGTCAAGGGCGCCATTTGACACATCTCCCTCCAGATCCATCAGTACAAACATAAACGCTTTTAGGAAATTGAACAAATGCTGGTACAGAGCGCGTAGAGACATATGCTTGCAGAGGAATTGAATAGCCTGGCAGCCGCCAACCTTGGCATACCAGGGGCGATCGTAGCACAAGGCGGTCATTCTCTCTGCCAAATATTGCATTAGGGGCAGCTTGCAAGCTCTGTCTTTATTTCCCATTATATTTGCAGCAGTGTCCAGTATTATTCCCATGCAAGCTATGCCGGGCTTGCACAATTCCTTTTCTTCATGTCCCATGCAAGCGGCCAGCGCATCGATTAACACCATGGGATCTATGCCGTTCGACATGAAATTCTTTTGTGGGAATGGTCCTGCTTGTTGAGCAATCGCCACCATGGTATAGTGCCTAACAACGGCTGCCATAACAGGACACACTGAGTCCCGCAAGTCTTTCGTGGCTGAGGCAACCAACATGCCAATAAGAGCTGTTAGATGAGTTCCACGCACGCTCGACGTTTCTATTTTGTTGTGGAATATTGGCCAATTCATAATGTTGCTTTCCACAAAGTCATTGTGTGTGAATAACTTTAGCAGTGTATGTTTTTCATCGTCTAGACTAATAAAGGCAGCTAGAAAACATCGAATTACTTCCCAACTTTGACGTCTATAAAATTGATCGGTGGTATTTGAGCTCAATGCTTTGAAGGCCGACTCAATGGCATGCTCAACGGGAAACTCAATTGGTTTCTCATATTCTTGGAAGTATGTAATTATTGAGATCTTCGGCTTCTGGCCATGATCGTAATGCAATGTTTGTGGCTCTACCATCATTTTACGGTTGCCTCCACCAAATTTACCAAGCACACGAAAAGCAACAAGCGCAGCATTGTCTTGATTTCTTAGCGTTTTCCATAGGGCTTGCATCAAAGCTGCCCTTACTGGTTGTATATGGTCATACAAAAAGTCTGGTTGCAAATTGTCGACGCACAGCTCCAAAGTCCTTAACCCCTGGAAATAAATTTGATTTCACTAATAGCTATATATAATTTAATTATTTTGCTTTACCTGATTTATGAGAGTAGGTGAACCGTTCAAGGCTGAAACCAATGGATCCATGAGCATGGGGAGATATGGCAGCAATGATGAGAGTCGCACAGGTACAGTCAAACAGAGTTCAACGAAAAGATCCCGCATGTGTTGTTTGTGGAATCCGCTTTGTAAGCGATTTAAGCCTTCTAGTAAATTGGGTAATAGCGGCAGGAATTCTTGATAGAGCAGATCATGACTGCCACCACCAATTGATCTGAACAAAGCCCGTAGCAGTAGGAAATAGTTGTAGGGCTCATCTGAAATTAACGCCAACTCCATTGAACGTATAACAATTTTGTGCAGATGTGGCCGCAGCATTTGTTCATTTTCCACAGGAAACAGGCTAACGCTGCCAAAGACGAGCTTAAACAAGCGGAGATATAAGTTTGATCGTTCGACATTTGAGCCCATTTCCTCCATTTTATCCAGAAGGTACTCAACCAACACTGTAGCAAAGAGTGGCGAAGTGGTTGGATTCGCTAAAAATGAGTTCGCTATAACCTGTAGAGCTTGATTTTTATAGATACGCTCCACCAAAAAATCAATTGTGGTTGCAAATATTTCTTGGAAGTTCTGCGAGTGCATCATGAGAAACTGAAAGGAATTTCAATTGAAAAATGCATAATAAGAAAATAAAAATATCCATGGATTTCTATAAAATATTTACAATGCCACTGAAATGCTCTAGAACTTCCTTTTCCTCTTTGCTCCGTGAAATCAGCCCAGATGCTCGTTGTTGATTAGGATTTACATTAATGGTATATATATCTAAAGCTTCCATTGCAAAATGCACCAAGTCAATGTAGGTACACAATATCTCAGGACTGAACAGCTTCTCCTGCACTTGCATGTTGGATTCGGAGACATGAGTCTATTATAAGAAAGAAGAGTATTAGTTGAATTTAATAAAAATCTAGTTAAATAATCATACCTTTGAATTGAAAAATCCCCAAGTAATTGTTTTAACGCCACCAACGAGTGTTTTCACCAAACTTCGAAATTCAGCTACATTCACAGAGCAAATCAATTGTGAGCCAGTCGTTGTTTTCGACTGATCGCTGACTAACTGATCCTTAAATGTGGTAAATAGGGAAAGGAATATGAATGATAATATAAAATCAAAATATAATACAAATATACTCATCGAGAGTCACTTACGTCTTTAATCTCTGCTAAAGGAAGAACGGGTAAGTTAAATGAACCAATAGGGTTCGCAGCTCCACCTGCTGGAGGTTGGCCCTTACTGATTATACAAAAAGAATTTGCATGAATATCACAAGCAAATACAAAATAAATATAAAGACATACCACTTTTGAATTATTAGAGGTAGCTGAATTTGAGCGATAGTTTCAAACTTCTTCACGAATACTTTCAACAGCGTCCCTAGAACATTTCTGGAACGCACTGGTTCCACTTCACTGTGGTGCCGCAAGCAATCGACTAGATTCAACAGAAGCTTACATGACATAGTCTGTATGCCAATAGCAAGTGTCTCATCGTGTATATTTCGAGCAAACAAATTTACTGCCTTGATTAGGACATCTAAGCTTAAGCTTTGACGGACATGATGTGCCAGATCAGCCAATGTAGAATACGCTAATGGGCGAATGGAATCCAATGTGACGCCTTTGCCGATTAGTAAATCTTCATCAAACAGCTTTTCAATTGATGGTATAAATTCTAAAAGAAAAAACAGCTGTCAAAATGAGGTCTGTGTTGAGGAAGAAGCAAAACAGACTTACTTTGTCTTAAATCTGTTGCAAATATATGACGCGCAGCAATTAATAGTTCTTTGCGTAAATGAGCTGCTTCCTTGGGACAATTTTCCATCAAATTCAACATACCATTTGAAACAGACAATGAGTTTGCAACGACAATATCCTGAAAAATATATAAAGTTTATATGAAAATAAATGTAACAGCACCATTAATAAGATAAACTCACTTGATATATTCGCACAATATATGCCAAAAATGAAAGTGTTTTTACTTGAGCTCCCATGAAGTCAACGAAAACTTCTTTCTGTGTTGAATTTCTAGAGAAATATAAGTATTATTAATTTGCATAATTTGTATTTTATTAAAACTTACCTTTGAAGTGCAGTTGGCTGCAAATTTATAGTTGTAAGTATTAAAGGAATGAATTCAGCGACCTCCTGATGGACCGCATTTTTATATATTTGATACATCAATACTACGATAATTGGCAGCTCTTGCAGAACTTTTAAGGATAATATACCGCGAGGTAGAAGATTATACTGAAAGATAAACAAATTAATAAAGCAAATTCTTTGATTGATTATATAAAAGCAGTATATACAATCATTTGTTGTGAATTGTGCTCCATGGACTTCTCTACATGTATCGTTTTAACTGAATATGTCTCTGGCAAAAGCATTTCCAAGTCCAGGTCTTTTAAGTCGCTTATCCAAATGTCATTTGATGTTTCAAATATTGCTGTTAGATTATTTGGAAGATTTGTATAAATTTCTTTAACAAATCCTAAAAAGAGTTGAATCTATAAAGAAAAAATAATTAAGTAAGGAAGTATTCAGTTTAAGTAAAAGCTCATACCTCAGGATTGAAAGATGGACGGAAATGTTTGTGCAGCTCAATTATTATACGAAGACTGATTAACACATTCTCTTCATTGTCAGTTTTTAATAATTTCAGCATCATTGTTATAATTGACTTAACATGCTGCCTCAGATTCTCTGTTATGGGCAGTCGATGTATCATCTCAAGTATAAGTTTACGAATCTGCAAAGTATAGAAAATATTGTATTAATAAAAGTAGTTAATAGATATTGAATGTTATGATGAAATATCTTCTTCCTTTTCGCAACAGGTTTAAGGGGACGACACTCATTTTCCCTCTAGTTTTTTCGGGTTAAAGAATCCTGCCATTACAGCAAATTACAACACAATACAAATGTTTGTACACAAATATGTATACACCCATACACACACACATGCATACATGCATACTTATGAAAATGTGCTGTATTCCAAAGCGAGGAAATACTTACGTGCTGAATAGTGTTTTCTTGAATAAATTGAGGCTCCCCCTCTTGTAATATACGCATAAATATCTTAAGTGCATTTTCCAAAAATGAGGGATAGCTCGGAGATTGCATTATCATTTCGAAATGCTCGCTCAACTCCTGAGTGGCTTTCAGCTTGATGTCCTCGCTTGCCGACGGATCATTTAATATGCTTAGGTAATTCCGGAAATTGTTAACCGGATTATTTTCCCCGTGTGCCATTTTAAGTGACCATTAATATTATTTTGCAACAAACGAAGTGACTTTACCGGTGTAAACAAGCGAAATGTGTGAATTTTATGCACAGGGCGACTCGAGTCAAGCACAAGATAGCGTCACAAAGAAACGCCTAGATACAGAGCTGCAGAATGTTTCGATTACGATAATTTTCTTACAGCTGATATATCGCTCTGAAGCATTTAATTGGAATTAAATAAAAGAAAATGTAATTTATTTAAACTAACTCAGTTTATTCATTAACAGCAGAACAATTTGCATTTTTTTATAAAAGTGAAATCCGCTCTAAAAGTAATAAAATACCGCATAATATTATCGAAAATGCTGAGATTGTTGATTTCTCTTCTCAGAGACATAAATAAATTTAGAAAATAATTAATATTAATTAGGTTTTTATTTAATTTGATAGTAATTTGATAGTATTTGATAGTATAGTAACTAATTAAATGATATGAATTCAATGTTAATTATGCCTATCAAGGTTAATAAATGTTAAGTGTTCCATTCGGCTGTTTCAATCACGTATGTTGCTTGTTTGTAGTTTTGACATAATTTTCGTCGAATTAATAGTGCACTCTTGCAAAACCGATAATTAGTAGCAAATAAAATTCTTTTGTGAACTAATAAATTATACATCGAGAATAAATAACTTGTAAGTGGCATGGCAATGCAAGTAAAATAATGCCTCTAGTGTATTTGAAAATCTGTGGTGTCTATAAACATTGTTAATACATGATAATCGCATGTGTTTCAGTATTTTTAATTAAAAATTGAGACCTATTGGAACTCACATACTTATGTATTTACATACATATATATATCTTTGAGTATATACATACAAACACATACAGATCGTTGAAACTGTTTAAAGAAATACAACAAACATGAATGTAATGAATGATTCATTTTAGTTAAAGAAAATAAATAAGTGAAAAACAGTTTGGAATTTTATTGCATGTGTCATTGACATAAGCGCGGTGTAAATATTATTAAGCAAGAAAATGCCGTAGTGTAGTTGTTTAATACATGAAATAACCACGAAACAAACTACATACAATAAGTGTGAAGCTAAATTCTAACATTCTGCAGTGTCAGTATGGACAAAAAAATTATAAAATTTGAGAAAAAACGCTTGTTTTTGTCTAACAAATATACTTTAGTATAATATTGTATTCGATATAAGGCATATGCTGCTTTTACCTTCACATATAAATAATTATAGCCTGTTTTCGCACTCAATAAGTCTTTGGTGCCTCACAATTTATGCTCGGCTTTAGGTTTATGTATCTGTTATTGTTGAGATTGTACTTTGTTTATACAGAGCCACCTGTGTTGATATATGAGCCTATTCAAACACGTCAATTACCGGCAAAATGAAAAGTTGTATCTATATTATTATATTATTGAGAACAATGAATTAGGTTAAATTAAAATCGACAATAATAATAACCTAATACGAATTATTCAGAGATTATTAACCAATAAGTAAGAAATGAAGCCGGGCAATGTTTCTCATTTTGCAAAAAACAAAAAAAAATGTTTATATGTATATACAATAAATTCGTCATTGGATATCGTTGGGTGACATGAATGACTTAGTTGTACTGTAAACTACAAGGCTATATATAAATGTAATTCTAATGAGCTGATTCGATCTAGGCCAGTCCATAGGTATGATCCCTCTGATCTATTTTAATATATATATAATCTGTAATAAATGAGCTTTAAATATTTCACTTATACCTTAATGACCTATGTACATCTATGCATCTATGATCTATTTACACTCTCAGAAATGTTATCTTACAATTATTTATATTCTCAGGTAAAGAAAAACGTAAGCAAAATGAGGGAATCCGCCCATGAGATCAGTATGGATACCTGGAAGCAGTGGATACTTGACGCAATATCCAAAATTCGGTCTCAAAAGCAAAGGCCGAGCGTTCAGAGAATATGTCAGGCTATTGGTACACATCACAAGTTCCATGAAGATATTGTGGCTGAAAAGTTGGAGAAAGCCGTTGAATCTGGCTCCGTTATTAAAGTATACAATAAAGGATTACATTCATATAAAGCGCCGATGGCGAAAAGGCGAATAAAAGTCGATAAGACAACAAATCTTTACAAAGTGGTAGCGAAAGCTGTAAATGATTTGGGAGAATGCGAAGGATCGACAATCAAAAATATAGAAAACTATATTCAAAAATTTAATTGCATTGATCTTTCGCCCAATGTTGATTTCAAAGCTGTAATTAAAGCGTCCATAAAGAAAGCCGTCGACACTGGCTTCCTAATACAGGAGGGAAAGTTATATAAGAAGGGTAAATCGCTAACAACGCCCCGCAAATCTGCACCAGAAACTGAAATACTTATCAAAGGCGAAGAAACCTGTACACATTGCTCCGGAAATTCACAGAAAAATCTTAATGGCATTCCAGAACCACTAAGTTCCTGCAAACAATGTGGAATATCATTGCACACGACATGTGCAAACATTGCCGGCAAATGCAAATCACAATCATATGTGCTGCTCTATATGCTTGTGACTAAAGGATCTTTATGGAACTGTCAGAAATGTGCTGATTGCGTTGTCTGTAAAATGCGCAATCGCGGCCCGTGTCTTTTGCAGTGTTTTGCGTGTAAAAACCATTTCCATCTAACATGCCTCGATACGATACCAGACAAAAAACCCAAGCATCCATATCGGTAAGTTAACAGATAACAAATATTATATATATTAATATAGTATATAATTTAAATAATTGGACTATTATCATTTCAGATGCAAATCGTGCCTAAACGTTGATCACCCAAAATCGTTGAAAAGGGAAGCAACAAACATAAAACTGGAGCATGATAATGAGAGGCAAGTTCAATTATAATTATGTTTATTAATATTTCCCAAGAGCTATGGCTGCCTACCCTAAACTATATCTATAACATAATACTATATTATGTTTTTCTTTTGCAGAAATGTCTCGTATTCGAATGTCTCTCAAAAACCACATTCCAATTGCAAAAGGCAGATGATTAAGAGAGAAGAGCGACTAGAAAATCCATCAACGTCCCAAGAATGTGTAAACAATGTTGCCGGCCACAAACAGAGAAAAAAAAATAGCATTGTGGTTAATAATTATGAGGCTCAGATGAAACAGAAAAAGATATATCGAGATACGATCATTAATCAAATCAGTCGAAAGCGTACATACTCGGACTTATCATCTACGACTACTTCAAGCGAAAGCGACGATGATGAGGATGATGACGATGACAAGAATGCTGCGTGCGATGACCAAGATGAGAGCACGTCGTCCGATTCATGCACTTCCTCCAGCTCTGAATCAGACTCAAGCGATAGCTCGAGTGATAGCTCTGAGTGTGATGATGACAACGATGAGGAGGACTATGACACGGACAAGAGTACATTCAAAGAGAATATATTTGAAAACGAGAAGAACATTGATTTCCGATCATCGTCCAATGACGCAAATAGTTTAGTTGACGCATCTTCGGAAAATTGGGGATTTGCTGCCGTTGCTAAGAATCCAGTCGATGACAAATATATCAAGAATTTTAAAACCATGAGCTATTCAAACCAGTCTGTTGCGAATCAAGCAATCGATGCAAATAAACCTAACAAATACGTATCGGATAAGTCTGATAATGTTGTGAACGGTACTTTACCAATCAAGCGAAGCAATGGAAATGTGGAAAAAAAGAGAACAGTTATCTTAAAATCTATGCCACTGGAATCCACAAAGTTATACATGAAAAATGATGATGATATTCCTTATCTTACCAAAGAAACTGTATTAAAATGTCGCATGATTGAGGACCAACAATTTCCAGAATCGAGGAAGAAGCCAGTCGAATCAAGTATAAGCAATAATACGGATTTCACTTGTATAGGAAACCCTGCGGATGAAAATGTGGAGACAGTTGGCCCTACTAAATTGTTTGGTATGTTGAAAATTAATATACTATCGTATATGTAATTATAATTATATGAATGCTTCATTTGAGCGTTAAGATAGTGCCAATAATCACAATAGTTTGCTTTACTGAATTCTATAGACAACTTCTATTAGTCTATTAGTTATTTACAAACTTAATTTTCAAAAAGCTAACTAAAATTTTATAATTTAACAAAGAAATGAAATTACGTTTACGTACCTAAAAAAAATTTTAATTAAGGGTTTGCCAATGCCTCAGACTACAATTTTGTTCCATAAAAATACCTTTTACAAGCAAAGCAAAGTAATTAGATCTTCTCAACTATACAGCTTCTATTTATATTAATTAAGTTTGGCTAAATGCCAGACATAAACAGTACCTATTTAAATAGCTGAACAAAAAGAAAATATGTACTCAATTAAATAATAAATTTTTTACTTATAGAAAATCAACATCTACCACCTGGCGTGAATCAATTTGATGTTAACATATATCAAGAAGTGTTGCAAAAAGCTGTTCTTAAAGTTTCTGCAAACCATTCCGAAATGCCTCTTGAGAAAAGTAATTCTTTGATTCACTGTGGACAAAGTCCCAAATCAATTGAAATTGGAAAATGGAATATTGAAACATGGTACTCAAGTCCATTTCCACAGGAGTACGCTAGGTAAATTCCTAAATTAGTATTATTTTGCATTTATTCCAAACTAACTGAACAAATCGAAAAACAAATTTAAAATATCCAGTTGGCAAATCTTTATGTGCAATAATTTTGAGGAATAGTTAAAAGATTAACTAAGACACATTTTTCTGAAATATATTATAGCAATATATTGATAATTATGCCTTCTTTCATTTTAGGCTGGCAAAACTCTACCTGTGCGAATTCTGCCTAAAGTATACAAAGAGTCGATCAGTATTGGATAGACATCAAAATAAATGTATTTGGAAGCAACCGCCTGGAACTGAAATCTTCCGTCAAGGCGATATATCTGTTTTTGAAGTGGATGGGAATGTTAACAAAATTTACTGTCAAAATTTATGCCTGCTAGCAAAGTTCTTTTTGGATCACAAAACCCTTTACTATGATGTGGAGCCCTTTCTATTTTA